TATATATATATGTAGCTTACTACTACTCAGTTTACTATATAAGCATATATATTTATATGCTAGCACTGTAGATTATTGAAATAAACGAGAGCAAAGGAATAGGTTAAATGCCTTTTGCTGCAGAGGAAAATTTTTAAAGCTTCAAACTACACTGAATGCCAAGTTCTGAAACTGTTGTATTTGTATGTGCCTGCCAGGTAAAGAGCCATTTTTAACTTTTTGAATAAGTGTTTAGGAAGCTTATTAACACTTATCTAATTTTATTTTCTTTAAACATGATAATCCTGAGTTGTTTAACGGTTTTCTTGAAAGGCATCTGCAGATTACTCGGATAATGAAATGGTGTCTGTAGGAGACTAGTTTACAGAATACGGTTGAGGGACTTCTCGCCCTTTATACTTTGATAAAAACTTGTTTCACTGCTAGTGACTTATAACTGCCATCTACACGCTTTTTATGCAATTAAAAAATTGAAGCAAATCAGTTTTTTGAAGTATGAACGGCTCAGCAAGCAAAACGTGGCGCAACAACTCTGCCAGTTGAAATTAATGTATTTATCTACGTAAATTCGATTGCGTCCAGCAATCAGCTTTCTTTCCGAAATTTTCGATGCTTCGTCGACGGTGTGTTCGACAAAATTATTGATCAGACGAACAGGTGTACGCAGCACTTCCTACGAAGGAATTATTGGCAATCCTTCATTACAGCGCCGGTTGTCAGAATGGGCGAACGTAAAGTCCAGGAGAAGCAAACTAAACCGTTATTTAAGAATTGTATCCTTATGGTGCAAAGCGGAACCAGATGTTCCTTTTCTAGTAATTTCAATGAAGTATTTGTTGAAGGTGGGATAAAATGGCTTTGAAGCTGCTTGAAGCGTTCGCGAGCGCAGAAGATGCAATTAAAGGCATAATTCGAAAACAACCGTGAGGCTGAAGTAAAGGAAGACGTGGAGTTAAGCTCCAATAGACTAACGTTAAAGTGGTACAGCAGTTCAATTTAGAGAAGTATTTCAAAATTACTTGCGGTTGGAATCTAGCCAACGGGGGTTCGCTGGAAGTTCTACAACTTTTAAATTCAGTTGACTAGAGGATGTCTTGTTTGCGGAAGCATAATGAGCGATGAACTTTTTAAAGGATTGGAGGAGAAATCTATATATTTGCAGTTCGTTTAAAATTGATCAGAAGGGGAAGTTCAAGAAGTTGGCAGAGCTAGTAGCTCCAAGTCTGATCATTCATTTTTGAGGAGACGGTTACAAGAAGTTAATTGTCAGAATAAGTTGAAAAATGCGGCAGAAATGTTGAATTTGCTAGACCGTTGTGTGTTTTAAGCGTTATGCAGCGCGTTTCATGTATTGTTAAGAGCATAAATTGCTGGAAAAATCTGTAAAAAAATGAATAAATTTTGTGTTGGAGGATTTATAGTACTTCATGTGGAAGTGGTGAAGATGATTTTAAGGCAAATGCTATAATAAAACTAAGAATATTTAAATAAGATATTGGAGAGACCGTAGAATTTGTAGGATGGACGGATGGGAAGTCTCATAGTGTCAAAAATTTTTTTGGAGAGCATATCATTTAACATACGCAAAAAGGATTTGTTGGAGCCACTCAGAAATATGGTAAGATTTGGTGAGTTTCAAGTTTCTTATAGGCGACTCATAGTTAATGGTTTTTGCTGTTCAAAAATTAGTTAGTTTAATCTGCATGGTCCTGTGCCATATTCATGGCAAGCAAAAGTTTCCGATAAAGCACTTTTGAGATAGAGTTTGGGCATTAGAAATGTTAATTGGCATATTGGCTGTCTTATGGCCTGTCAAAGCACTGCCTTCTTTTGCTTTCTCCGTCATTCCTCTAAAGCTGCAGTAGAAGTGGGGTTAATTACACTGGCATGTGTAAGTGGTAAATTCCAAGATATTTCGGCTTCGAGTAATTTTCTACTTCCAGGTTTTTATGTATAATAAAAAATCGTTTTCTGTCGTTGGTAAAGGGAGGAGTTACGTAGGTGAAACTGTACCACTTTAACCTGTACCTAGAACTTTTCTCAAGGACTAACATCTGGAAATTTCTTAAGTTTTTGTAAGCTCCGAAATCTCACTGAACTTACAAGCATCAATAGCCCAGTGATTCTCCATAACACAGTTACTTTCATAAGTCAGCACTGCTGGTTTTTAAAAATTTTGGAAAAATCACTTAGGCAAAACTTGTTTCAAGATTGACTGATTGAAGCAGTCTGAAAAGAAATTTTCTGTTATTTTACATTATTATGTGTGCTGGTAGGGTACAGTTTTAGCCAGTATATTCAAGACTTCAATTTTGTTGAGGTCATGTAAAATATTCTTTGATATACTCATTCAACTTTGTGTTATAGTTAGAAGGAACTTTAAAGGAATTTTATAGCAAACTGTTTCTTCATTCTGTTCTTAAAGGCTGACGAAGGCATTTGAAAAAGAGAAGCAGGTATTTCGTTTCTATTTCCTCAGTTTAAGAATTTTTGGAAAATTATTTACAACATCTGTTCTGAAATCTAACGCACTAAAATTATACGTCTCAAAAATTTTCTTTTTTATGGTGATGCAATCAACGGCCAAGTAATGTTACTCAGTTCTGTACAGCGACTAGGCTGTTATAAAAACATATGCCACTGTGCTGGAGAGAATAAAAGAAAGTAGCTTGTCGTTCTTTGCAGATTTTTAAATATTTCAGTTTTCTACCGCGTAGCTAGGCTTGGCAAAAACTACCTCGAGTAAAGAACAGCATTTTAAAAAATTTTTTGCTTTATCGTTTTTGAGGAATCTTGGAAGTCAGTGGGCACACATTCGGTAAACCAAAACGAACCCAAAATGCAATTATATGTTTAGACTTGGATTTTTTAAAGTGAACTGCAAAAAAAGTGACTATAAAGTCATTTCTAGAAAGTTTGGTGCAGGCAACTACAAAATTTCCAATAATAATGACAGCGATAATGCTTCACATTTTTTTTGAGACAAATCTATAGTCGGTCATGTTTTCTTGTCGTGTTCTTGTCAACTTCATACTAAAAAGGTTTTCAAATGCTTACCAATGGGTATCGTATTTCCGATCATCCACTTCCGTTATGATCTCACCAGAGCCTCCCTGTTCTAAAGTTTCTTTGTTCTTCATCAAATTAATTAAGTCAAGTGCTGCATTCTCAGCACTGCTGCCAGCCAAACGTGAAGCGAATGCTTGAAGTTCAGCAAGATACAGTACTTCAGGTTTCTGAGTTGTTGGTCCTTCAGCACGTTTGACGGAACCGCAGTAAATTTTTGATGATAACTTAGTTGGTTGAATACGTCTTTCTTCTACTCTCCCATTTTCATTATTCAGTTTTTTCTCGGTAGACTTATGCGCTTCTAATTTGTACGACATAAAAGTAGGCTGAATGACTGTTCTTTCAACATCGGCATAAACAGGGAACTTGTAGACACAGGAAAGAGATTCTGATGCTTTCTTGCTGTTTGTCGAACAGTAGCATAACTGCTCAGCTTCAGGTAAATTACTGCCTCTTTCCAATGATTCTGCCTCATTGGGTCGATTGTTTTCGCAGCAAAAAGATGTGGAGTTTTCTAAAAAAAAACGACATTTAGTGAGGAAAGGACTGCTAGAAGAATGATCGAGAGTTTAACTTCAGACCTGCTAAACAGCATTTTGAGCCCTAACCAAACTACAAAAGTTTTATAAAGAGATTATAATATTTCCAATATTTTAGTTATCTTATCAGTTTTCTGTTACTTGTTAACTCTTGACCTCAACTGACTTTTCTACGTTATATGATTTTGCGCTATTTGTTATGCAGTGTTTCCATATGCTAATCATGTAGTGAAAGAAATTAGCAATGTTAAATTAAAAAGTGGACCCTGCTCGCAACTGTTTTGGGTTCCAAATCTTTCGTGAAAAATAAGACTTGTTTTTTTTTTCTTCAAAGCTTGTTTTGTAATCTCGTCACCCATTTTCTTTCCTCTATACTTATCAAGAACCTTAAAATCATATTGTCCTTACTTTTTCTGGTAAAGCAGCTGGCTAACGTCCATAAATTACTTGATTTTAGAAGATAAAAAAAAAGTCAGTATATGGGAGTTCTCTTTCTTCTATACTCTAGTCCACCTTAATAAATGAGGAAGGGAATTTAGAAAGCAAAAAGCCGACGAGGGGGGAGGTTGAAAGGGGGGAATCGGCTAATTTTAAACAAGTTCGGCTTTACTTTGGTTATCAGAAGTTGAGTTCTGTCTAAAGCTATCCCAACGCTTATATTACAAGCACTCAATTTTGACTCTGCATCTAATTGTTTGATTTTCTAGCCTTTGACAACGTCAGACAAGGTTCTTCCAAAATCACAATTCTTTTCCGCAAGCTTAAGAAATTGCTTATTTATTACAGTACAGCTCAGTTTCGGACTCGGCAGTTCTTCAATATCGCTTCTCAGCTTTCGCCTATTACTTTTTTTGATTTTTCGGTATCTTTCAGACTACTGAAGACAAGAACGGCTCCTAAAAACATGAAACTGTACGTGCAGTCAATACTTTTAACCCCTTCACTTATTCTTTTGAGCTTCCGTCTTACAAATCTTTTAGGTAACCTCTTCTTCAGACGCCTCTCCTAGTTCCTGTCTTAAGACAGCTAATCATCTGCCTCTTTTCACCCGTCTTCAGCACTCTATGCAACGGCAATTTACGAAAATTTTGCAATCTTGAATCGGCAGTTTTTTCTTCTATCAAACAAACCAAAAACATCAGCTCTAACACTGTCCAGTTAAAACCTGCAACATAACTCAGTTCACTATTTGTCATTCTCTGGCCATCGCGCCCCTTCCATCAGTTAAATCATCAGTGTTTTTCTCAACTCCCCGCTCGATTTTTGAAAACAGTGTTCCTTCGCTGCGTCGAAGATGGCAGCCGTATAACACCATTCACTTCAACAGCATTGAGGAGATAAAGCAGGTCTATCGTCAGCGACTTCCTGGACACCTGATACTTCATTCTGTACAGTTTCTAAAATTTTCAACTGGCTTTCCCCTTTTGATATTACTTCCAATTCTGTACGTCAGCGATCTGTGCTTCATCTTTTTGTGCTCGGGAGAAATCCTAGCTTTACTCAGTCACATTTCCCAGAGGTTTCCTTCTTCAAATAAAACCACCTGCTTTTAATTCATCAACTGCTTGGTTCTTCTAAAGCAAGAAATTTCGGTCATTTCTCAAATTTACCGAAAAGAAACAGTATTCGTTGTCTAGCGGTATCACACAAATCCTCAAGATGCAAATTTAGCAACGAGCAGCCTCCCGTTGATTACAGCAGATTTCCTCTCCAAGTCTCTCCTTCTTCTAATTTAATAGCTCGTCATCGCGTAGAAACTGAAGAAAATTCGCTTGCTTCAGACTGCACATCGCTGCTTTTCAGCTACACGTTAACAACGCCCGGCCAAGCACTAAATCTTACATTATTTCCTGTTTTGGTCTCTTGCAACAACTGGCTTCGACCGAACCTGTCGCGAGATGACTTCCTTGATTCTAACCTTCGTCCTCTAACATCACTCAAGTTTGCGCACTTGAGGCTGACAAACACTTCTTCACTCCCCAAACCAAGATCTTCATTGAGTATGGAAATCAGAAGCTTGTTTCGTTTTTCATTTGTACCAACCCCTAACACGCAATACTTTTCACCAATATGTGATACATGGACTTTCCGTGCAATTCCTTGATCCATTACCCGTTTCAGCGCAGGAAAACCGCTGAAATTCCTTCCAAGCTAGTCTCGTCAAACTTGAGTCATTATATTCATCAACCCTTGGCTTTCCCACCTCACTCGCCAACACCTCTGAGCCTACCCCTCACAGCCACTATCACATTTCTTAAGAAGAAAACTGGCGTGCACGTTCATGCGCTACTTTGATCAACAACCCCCTCCTTTCCACTAACAGCAGATCTAAACAGGGTTTCAAAAACGCTGATTATTTTCATATTACATCTACTATAAAAATCTACATCTTCCTCAGCCTGACTCAGTTGAGTAAACTTTTTATTTACAGGATCATCAACGTTAAACTTCCCAAAACATACGCATGACTTACCTTCAAATTCACTACCGCCTCTTCTCCACTCCAATGTCGCATTTGGAACTTCTATCTCAGCTTTTCCTTGATCAAATTCCCGCCGAGCCTCAACATCATTCAGAACAGTGCATGCTCTTGTATCAGGCCGTGTATTCATTTTTTCTCTATCACCAACCTGGCCAATTTCCACATGAACGAGGGCAGCTAATCGTCGTTCTTGCTTTTCTCCACGCATCGGACTTTCAGAATGGGAAGTTGGATGTACTTTCAAATCGTTTTCAGTAATATCTCGATTCACCGTTTTAGAAAAAACGGCTGTACTCATAATTCTCTTAGTCACATTAGACAACTCTTGTTCTGAGCAAACAGGACAACTCAACTCGTTGTGGAACTCATCCGCTTCCAAATTACCTACCACTGCAATGC